GTGAATTTTTGTAACTTTTAAAATACCTTAGTAAGGCTGTTAAAATAATACAGATACACACACACACACACACACACACACACACACACACATACTAATCTCACACACACACACAAATGAGGCTTAATTTCCTAAGCATAATTAAGACAGAACCTCCATGACTTGAAACAAAGGTTTTCCTTAATATAGTCATATATTTTTTATTCATGTATTTAAACATTACACGTGAAAGATATTACCATTGTTCAGTGATGGAAGCCCAGGCCCTAAAGGATGTTAAGTTTTCTGAACTAAATTATGTGGAAGCTGTGATTGCTTAATAAATAGCAATAAATTTACAAATTCTAAAAATAGACAGTATTGGCTTCTTATTGGGCTCATTGCAGAGAAAATCGAAGCAATAAAAGGAGAGTCTGAGAAGCAATTCAAATCTCTAGGTTGTCTGAGTAATAAACTGTATTGTATATAATCATCAGGACTTAGAGACATTTCACCTGAAGAGCAAAGCCTGACCTAATAATTTATTTAATAGCTGCCTTCAACGATATGAAGTGTTTTACAGGGAAACTATTTGACTAGTTCTCTCTCTCTCTCCATTGAGAGCCAAACAAAACAAAGTGATTTAATAATCAGCAAGGTAAATTTAGATTAAACATAAGTAACCCTGACAGGAACTGCTATCAAATGCTGGAATGAATGTAATTAGGATATTTGTTCAAGCTGTTTCCTTGGGGATCATTAAGAATAGATAAGACAGACACAGCTTTGGTGTGAAGGCATTACAGCCTGGGAGGTGGGAGTCGGACTTGCCGACGCCCTGAGGTGGAGCACGTCTGTGGAAAGGATTGCGGCCCACCTGACTCTCACACACCTTACCTCAATATCCCGATTCAGCTGCTTCACTATGGCAGTTATGTTTCTGATGTGCTCCTCCAAGAAAAGCCTGGCCAAGCGGTCGCCTCCCCCTTTGTTCTGCATTTTCTGCAAACTGTTGACGATGTCATCTTTAATCCGGAAGGCATGCTCCACGAGGGCGGCGGTCGTTTTCTCGTGGCAGAGGATTCTATCTTCCAACTGCTCCACTAGGCTTACGGAGGAGTAGGGTGCCATGGTCAGGGACTGGCTGTGACGGGGCATGGTTCTAACGCGTCTGTGGAAAGGAGCCGCAGCGTTATTAGGGTTGTTCATCAGGAAAAAGTCATTTTTAAAGCCAAATTCAAGCAAAGAAAATGCAAATTATCTACTCCTACAAGCTAAATGGGGTTTGAGGTAGGGTTTTCTGCCCCAAAGTTTTCTTTGCAAGCCAGGCAGCATCTTTAAATAAATGTACCCAGAGAGTAAAGTGTTCTGATAGCAGGTTCTGTGACCTCCAAAAGCAAGACACTGAGATGTCTCCCCAGTACAAGCTGTGTTATCAAGATCAAGCTTATTAACAAAATATCCTGACATGCCCTCCTCCGCCCTCCCCTTAACACAGTGGTTACAAACCCAAATGCCCACAAGGGTCAGGCAGGTGACTTGAATGAGTGAAGCACACCATATATGATGCAATAGGGAGTGGTGGGGACTTTGGAGAACGGGAAGGGGCATTCCTCAACTAAAGGGAGCCACAGTTCTGCTCCACCCATGAGTGACTGTCTGGAAACTCCAGGTCCATTTTTCCAGATTACCTGATGTTTCAAGAAGAGCCAGAAAATCCAGACTTGTATGTGAAATCACTTGACTGTTAAGTGTTCACAACTCATTTAAAAAGTATTTAAGATGATGCAGGTCAAACAGTGTAGTTCCATGAGCCAATATTGGCCTATGGACACCCAATCTGCAACATCAGATTTAAAAGGGACATCAGCCTCCAAGTCTCCAGAATTATATTTTACTGTTGACCAGAAGTATAACTGTAGAACTGTGGGGCTACTGAAATCTCCACCTCTCATGGTCATTGAGTGGACCACAGGATCCTACGAATTGAAAGCTGGAGAGGGGACCCAACAGTATTCTCTTGCCCTTGAACAAAATCATTCTTGGATAATGTAACCACTGCAAGGCCTCATTTACAATGACCATCACACCCACTAGCAGCCTGCATGGGACTCATGGAAAGAAAAAGTATACCTTAGATGCATATTTTCCATATATTATACCTTTCCTTGGTGACAAGAGAAGGAAATACAGTGCTCTGTTGGGCCATTTTTCTTTTTAATAATTCACATCTGTCGAAAAAATAAGCATTACATTATTTAACAGTTTATATCTAGAACCTACATGACCTCTACAGTGCATTATTAAGTTACTATGTGGATCACAAATTATGCTGACATGCTAATCAGTTTATTATTAAAGACCTTATATCTTATATAGGAAATAAACAGCAAATGTTTAAATAAGGAGAAAAGAATCAAGCAACATCAAAATGCTTCCGAAATTGATACTGCCAAGCCTTGCTAGACAGATCAACAAGGACTGTTGAATGGAGTTTCCTAAGTTTCCTCACCCCATATCTGCGTTTCAAGCTTGAGAAACCACTTTTACGGAAACAAGATAGTTTCTTACACAGGCTCATTCAATCATCTACTTCTCCGTAGAAATTTACAGGAAACTACCTTAGTACATTTGATTTCAGCAAATGTAGCAAGTTACACAGCAAAATAAGAGCGTCTGTTTCTAAATTAATCTTAAAAAACAACAATGTATGGTCTGATTTGGGGAAACCTTTCCATCCACTAAGAGAATGAGAATGATATTCCTCATTAAAACTTTATTATAAGATATAATAATTTCATATTACAACTTGCATATAAAGAACATTTGATCATGACAACACATTAGAAATCTGAATAAAACTGGAGGGTCTTTAAAATATTTCACTACTTATGTTTCTCAATGCTGTTGTTAATTGCCTTAAAACAATGAATGCCTAGTAACCGTGCTCTGATTCAGTAATTAGTTCTCATTTAGATGCTGGATTCAGAAAGCATTGCTGATTGAAACCATTTTTTTTGGCATCATCTCTCCAGTGTGTTATTTTTAGGGTTTCACAATGTGAACATTTCACTTTCTGAGACAAAGAACTTTGAATTTNACTTGTCTGTTCCCCTTCCCCCAATTCCCCAATAAAAAAAATCTTAAAAAAAAAAATTCATGGGGAGCAGCTAAAGCAGTGCTTACAGGACATTTTATAGTTTTAAACACCATTATCAGAAAAAAAAAATCTCAAATCAATTACCTAAGCTTCTACCTTAATAAACTAGGGGAGGAAAAAAAGAAAAGAAAAAAAGAAAAGCAAACTAAAAGCAATCAGGAAAAAAGAAAATAATATAGAGTTGAAATAAATGAAATAGAAAACAGAAAAGCAATAGAAAAATATTAATAAAACCAAAAGTTGATTGTTTGAAATGATCAAAGACTCAATATTGTTAATATGGCCATTCTCCCCAAATTGATCATCTATACATTCAAAGTAGCTTCTCAGCAAGCTTTTCTACAGAAACTGACAAGCTGATCCTAAGATTAAATGAAACTATAAGGACCTAGAATAGCCAAAACAATTTTGAAAATAAGAACAAAGTTGAAGGACTCACATTACCTGATTTCAAAATGTACTCTAAAGCTAGAAGAAATTAAAGTGATATGGTATTGGCATAGGAAAACCATACAGATCAATGGAATCCAGAAATAAACCCTTATATTTTATGGTCATTGATTCTCAACAAAGGGACAAATGAAGAAATTATTAATTTTCCTTGGTTATCCACCTGGAAAAAAATTGACTTGGACCTTTACCTCACTTCATACATGAAAATTAACTCAAAATGGATCACAGACCTAAACGTAATAACTAAAACTAAAGCTTTAGAAGAAAACATGAAATATCTTTGTGACCTTGGGTTAAGCAAATGGTGATTAAGATATAGCACTAAAAGTATAAACCATAAAAGAAGAAAACTGAGAAGTTGGACTTCATTAAAATTTGAAAATTTTGTGCTTCAAAAGTAGACAACTGAAAATGTAAGCCACAGAATGAAAGAAAATATTTGTAAATCACATATCTGATAAGGGACTTGTATCTAGACTATACAAAGAACTTTTACAACTCAATAATAAGATAAATAACCCAATTTAAAAATGGATTCTAGGGCCGGTTGAGTGGTGCGTTGGTTAAGAGTTAGCTTGGGATGCCGGCTCTGAGCAGCAGAGTCCCAGTTCAGATCTCACACGAGGGCCAGTGATGCTGCGCCCTCTACAGCTGAGATGATGAACAACAGCTCAACCTGGAGCTGGGCTGCCATGAGTCGCCGGCGTCGGCATAGGCTTCAGTGAGCTGCAGTGGGCTGCCGTTAGCTACGTGAGTGGCCGGCAGTTGGCGTGAGCTACCAAGAGCCGCTGTGAGCGACCGTCCAGTGGCTGGCGACCGATCTTCCTCAGCCAGGAAGAGTGCAATGATCATAATACCAACATGGGCCAGTGAAGCAACATCCTTCACAACTAGACTGAAGAACAAAAGGACAGCAACTTGTCTGTTCCCCTTCCCC